GAGTTTAAAAGCGAAACTGGAAATGATCAAACTGTTTCCAAGTAACTTAACTGCATCCCCAAACAAAGCTCAAAAATACTTACAGAATACAATAATGTCCAGTGCACAAAAACACAAAATTTAAAACATCTGGCATCCTATCAATTATTACCAGGCATGAAAAGGAGGAAGAAAGTATAACCCATGATAACAAGAAAAACTGATCAATCAGAACATAGCAAGAAACAACACTGAAGGCTGAATTAGCAGGCAATGACATTAAAATAGTTATAACTGTGTCCCACAAATTTAAGAAGCTAGAGGAAAACAATCATGTGTAAAGTAGAGACATGGAAGATATATAAGATGGCCCAAATTGAACTTCTAGAAATGAAAACCAAAATGTCTAAGATGAAAAATATACTTGATAGGATTAATATCAGAATAAGCATTGCAGTAGAAAATATTAGTGAACTTGAATACATAGCAATAAAAACTTCCCAAAAGTAACACACAGAGAACAAAGACTCAAAATCAAATGAATAGAGTATCAATGAGCTTTGCGGGACAATATCAAATGGCCTAAGATACATGTAAGCAGAGTCCCCAAAGGTGAGTAAAGACAGAAAAGGTATTTCAAGAACTAATGGTCAAAAGTGTTTCAAATTTGATAAAACTATAAACCCTCAGATCCAAGAAGCTCAACAAAAAAAATTACGCTGAATGAGAAAAGCCAGACAAAAAAAGAGTACATACAGTATGATTCCATTTTTATATAATTCCAGAACATGCGAACTAATTTACAGTGATAGAAAGCAGGTTAGTGGTCTCCCAGGATGGGGATAAAGGCAGAAGTGAGGAATTATAATGGGCAGGAAGAAAGTTTGGGGGATAATTGATACGTGCATTATCTTGATTTTGGTGATGCCTTCAACAGTATTTACATACGTCAAACTTAATTACTAAAGGCCAAGGCTACAGAGTTGTGAGTAGAGATGTAGATATGGTCATTGAGAAGCATGTTGATCTCATCTGGTTTTTATAACACAACATGGTGGGTTTTAACATCCTTCACTGAAGCAGGAAAGCAAGAAAGCAGAAAGTTTTTGTGTTAAACAAACAAAAACAAAATAATCTCACCTTCCGAGAAATGTCCCAGATCCAGGATCATAAATTTCCAGATAGTCATTTGTGCAGTTGTAATGAAACTCCAGATGAAAGCTCTCGAATGTCAAATGAATCAGGTAGCCAGGTTGGACTAATATATACCAGGTACAGTTGACACCATGGGGGTAGATATTTGGATGGCCGGGACTTTGAATGATTCCTGTTGACTCTGTAAGAATTTGTCCACATGCTGTTGAAATAGAAATAATAATAATCATCAGAACATGTAACCAACAAGTTACCTGGAATTCAAAATAAAATATTCTGATCATAACCTCTTAAAAACTCAAAAAGAAAAATCTTCCTTATATGCCACTTAACCTAGTTTTTCTTCTATTAATTGACATCAATTAAATATTGATATGTACTAATGAGGAAATATATATTTTCCTTGCCTTTGAGTGTACTTTAAAATTTTTACACTGTAGATGACTATCTATAGTGTAGATGAATTTTCTATAATAATTTATTTCCATTGTTCACTTATTCTGATACAAGCCCAAGAGGTAAAGCAGGAGAAAGAGACAATCTCTTACCCAAATCTTCAGTACTGAATTTAGCCATGAAACCGTGATTTTCAGTAGAAGAACTTTTCACAAACATGACATAAAGAAAATTGTACACGGATGATATAAGTGAAGGTATGTCTGTGCCACAATATTTTTTATTTTCAGGAGAACCCAAAATGGAACTGCTACCAATCTAAGTAAAAAAGACATATTCAAAATTATTTTGTTGGCTATTTTATTTTGAAAAACTGCTTCAAGAATAATTATTTCTGAAATTTTTCTATTAACATAGTAAAAATCAATTTTAGAACATTTAATCAGTCCAAAAGAAATTCCATGTCCATTAGCAGTCACTCCCCATTCTTCTCAAACCCCAACCCCAGGCAGCCATTAACCTGCTTTCTATCTCTATAGATTGCCTATTCTGGACATTTCAAATAAATGGAATCATATGATATGTGGTCTTTGTGATTAGTTTCTTTTAGCATGTTTTTGAAGTTCATCCATGCTGTAGCATGTGTCATTACTTCATCCTTTTTTAACATCACATAATATACCATTGTGTGGACATACCATATTTTATTAATCCATTCATCAGTTGATGGCCATTAAGGTTGTTTCTACATTTTGGTTACTAGGAATAAGGATTGTACAAATTTTTGTGGGGACGTATATTTTCATTTCCCTTTGGTATATACCTAGGAGTGGAGTTGCTGGATCAAATGCTAACCTTGTGTTTAACTTTTTGAGGAACAGCCAACCATTTTCCAAAGTGGCTGTACCATTTATGTGCTCACCAGCAGTATATAAGTGTAAAAGGGATCCAATTTCTCCATATCTTTGTCAACACTTGTTATTATCTGATTTCTTGATTATAGGCATCCTAGTGGGTATGAAGCAGTATCTCATTGTAGTTGAATTTGTATTTCCCTGATGATTAGTGATGTTGAGCATCTTTTCATGTGCTCGTTGGCTATTTGCATATCTCGTTTGAAGAAATATATT